CTTGCAAGCTGGATCCTAACACTCTCCCCTGTCATGGTCTTGTATCCTCTGCTTGTGCAGCATCAGTTAGTCCTGGGGCTACCTTGACGGCAGGTCCAGACGTCATGCGGTGTAGGGTGACTTTTGTGCAAGAGGCAAAAATCGGATTTTTGAGGTCCCTCCCTCAACACTGGTGCCATAGTTAGACATTCTGCTCTAGTTCTGCTGACTTAAGAGATGCTCGAGTTGGGATCAAAGTAAGAACTCATGGGCAAACGGGAAAACCCCCCATGAGGAAGGAAAATGTAAACACCGACTATACACAGTTCTGAAACTATTTTTCTTTACTCAGGTTATCAAGACGTCTCCTTCGCATCTTCAGGGGACCCTTCTTTATATTCCATACAGCCCCACAAGACCGAATGAAAATGTTGACTGTTCACAATGTAAAATGATCGTAATTCTTCAGCTGAAGTTGTGTCTGCAAAGGGCCTCAAGGTGATGACTGAATTAGTTCTTTAAGAAATACACGTGATAAATTTTCATCAGATTCACTGATTTTTTGGTTGTTGTTGATAGAACGTTAAATGTACCTGTGTTCATATTTGGTTACTTTCAATGATTACAATTTGTAACAGTAGGTAGAGTGTGTAATCCATGAGGTATCATTAATGAAAAGTCTGCATGTTGAGAAGTTACGCATAACACTGAAGAAGCCACAACAAGGAGAAAAGTCAGCAGGGGTACATTCAGAGGAGTCCTGGTGGGAAAGACAAGAGACCAGATGTACATTAACACATCATCAGCTAGAACGGTGCTCCTACAGCTGTTTCCCGGGCAGTAATGTCCAGCCATGGAGAGAAACAATGTGACCGTCACCACAGATTTTATTCTCCTGGGGCTCTGGCCTGAGTTCAGCCACCTCGTGAGCCTTCTCTGCCTCATCCTTCTGGTCTACTTTATGGCTGTTTTGGGCAATGTTGTCCTCATTCTCCTCATCTGGCTGGATACCCGACTTCACTCTCCCATGTACTTTTTGCTCAGCCACCTCTCCCTCCTTGACTTGGCCTTGATCTCAACTTCTGTCCCCAAAATGGTCACAGACTTCTTCTCAGGGGAAAGGACCATATCACAGATAGGCTGTGGAACCCAGGTCTTCTTCAGTTTAACCCTCGGGATTGCTGAGTGCCTCCTGCTAACCCTCATGTCGTATGACCGCTACGTTGCCATCTGTAACCCACTGCGTTACTCGGTCGTTATGAGCCATTCCACCTGCAAAAGGATGGTCACTGGGTCCTGGGCAGGAGGGGCTATAACCTCCCTGGTTCATACAGCCTATGCCATGCATTTTCCCATTTGTCACCCCCGAGAGATTCCGCACTTTCTGTGTGAGGTCATGGCCCTCTTGAAGCTCACTTGTGAGGATATTTCAGCCTATGTGAAGTCAGTGGTGGTCTCGAGTTTTCTGGTGGTTCTCATCCCTCTGAGTCTCATCCTGGCCTCCTACACCCTCATCTTCCTTGCGGTCCTCCGCATGAACTCCCCCGAAGGCAGGAACAAGGCTCTGGCCACCTGCTCCTCCCACCTCGGTGTGGTCAGTCTCTACTTTGGCCCTGCCATATTGGTCTACATGAGGCCTGGATCCTCTAAGACCCCCAGACTAAATCAGTCTCTCTTTATGTTTAATGCCATCCTCACCCCTATGTTTAACCCACTCATCTATAGCCTGAGAAACAAGGATGTTCTAGAAGCTTTGAAGAGTATAGTCACCAGCAGATGCCCTCTGGGAAAGTTGAAAAGACACCTAGGTTGCTATACGTGATTATAATCTTATGTTAGCATATTCCTTTGAATTGCTTTCAGGAGCCTTTAAGACTTGACCAATTCTGTTATAAATTATGTTAGAGACCATTTGTTTCAATCCCATTGCTGTGCAAAATAAAAATAAAATAACCTATCCATGGTCTCAGATGCAATTCTTCTGCCATAAAATTCTGAAACCACACTGCTTTTCTAAATAACATAGAGCATAATTTTGGCTCAGAAATGCCCAAGTTACAAATGCACCCACCAAATGTGAAGAAGGCCTGAGCTGTCCCTTTGGTGGAGCTGTGAGAAAGCTCGTAATTTCAGAATGGGCTCAGCAAGCAGAGCTTCTGACACAGGACTTTCAACTGTTAATGGCATTAAAATAGTCTGATCTGACTTGAATTATCAAAGGCAAAGGCAGCTGTTCAGTTGCCAGAAGCTCACCCACCTTTAACTCAAGGTCATTATTTTGTTTCAGGAAGAACAAACAGGAAACGTGCCTTCTTTCTCTTGACTCTAAGAATTTTCTTTTGTGTGTGTGTTCACAATAACTCCTTCTGAGTTCATACCCATTGTCTAATGCAAACACAGCACCAAACAAGACTACAGAATTCTGACAATCTAAGAAACTGGGATAAAATAATGGCACCTGTCACCTAGCATTGCTGAGAAGATTCAATGAGTTAAAACATGTAAATCACTTAGAACAGTGCGAGCAAGGAGCAAGTGCAACGTTATATAGATCCAAGCTTCTGATTGTGTTCTATTTACTCATGAAATTGCCATCTTGAAATCATGTAGTCCAGCTTTGTTATGTACAAATAAGGGCACAGAGCTCCAATAAGACTCTATTTCCAGGTGGCATCGTCCCGTTAGCTCACTTAGCCTAATGTGTAACACACAAGCTGGAAAATCCAGAAGAAACCTTCAAAAGACTGAGCCAGTGCCACAGGGATCTGAGCCTGTTTCTGGGGGCATCTGGGACTTGGAACTTGCAGCTCGAATTCCTAAAGGCCACTGGCACTACCCAACAACCAGACTGAGAGGCACATTTCCTGCAAGTCCTAAGCCAATGGGAATCCCAAGTTAACAGCTATTACTGAGCACACATGTGGGCAAAGGCTTTGTACAGAGGCTCTGCCTGTATCCATATGTCCTCCAACATGGAAGACACACACCTGGGGTCTTTTGTTTCCCTCCTGCCTGTTTCCTGAGAGCAGCAGATTTAATTATCTATCGCGGGGGGAGGAGAAACTGTGTCTGTTTACATTACCTACATATTAGAACAAGGGTGGGGAGAAGAGTTAAATTACTGATGCCAAGGCTACACCACCAGGTTCCTGAGTGATGCAGATAACTTCTAGGTGCAGCCAGCATTCAGATCCACGACCAGGAGCCCTGTCATCAGCTATCACTATTTGGAGACCAATTAAATCTTCCCTTAGTCAGTTTCTGCCACACTTGTCTGGTGGTAGAGATAACCTGAGACCATAATAAATACACATATTCCTGGCCCATGCCTGGCATTTTAGATTCAGGAGCCCTGGAATTCCTCTATTTCTTCAACTCTCAGGTGATGTCTACAGTTGGGCAAGTTGGGGAGACACTGGTCCAGAAAAGACACTACAGGAGTAATCTGGGCTGTTTTCACTCAGTGATACCAGCTGTGGGAGGGATAGCATGTTAACTCTCAATTGTGAGTTAACGTAACTAAGGCTCTTATAGGTTCTGTTAATAGATCTGTCCCCTAAGACGCTGGGTCCTTTGTTGGATTCTGGTGAAGATTCGGGTGCATGAGTACTCTGGGTGATCCAGCACCTTATTTAACCCTTGTGGGTCACGGTGTAATGATGAGGCTCAAGGAGAAGTCAAATGAATAATCTTCATGAAGACCAAGCCTGTCATCCTGACGCCACCAAGTGTACAGCTCCAATGAACAGAGCTACACCACCATGAAGGGACCTTGAGGATTTCAGGTGAGACCAGGCACAGTGAAGATACCAGCTAGGGGTACTTCCTGAAAGGTCACACTCAGCTTAGAACTTTCCAACTTCCTGTTTTGACCTCACGGAGTATTATATCTACAAACCCACGGAGGAGAGAAATGGTCTCCCTGTACACATCGTCCATGAAAGAGTTAAGTCTTACTATCCTATATCATTTTGCAAAGGGCTTTGTAACACTCAGGCCTTTGCTCTGCCCCTCACAGATCTGGAATGTTCCCATTCTTCCACAGAGAGCAAAAGTCTCTCCTAAAATTAAAGGAGGCAGAAAGTCCTACATCTAGTGAGAACCAAATTTGCTTGCTCAGATTTACAAATATTTAAAAGAATCAGTGTGCTTCTGTGCTTTTAGATAGGCTGCCTTACATCTGACAGCTATGTACGAAATGTCATTCAATTGTTCTTGGTTTTGTAATGCTAAATGAAAACCATATTCTCCAACTCAACAAGGTATGAAAGAATTTTATGTTTTTCTCTTAACGTTAAACAGTGAGAGCAAAATAACATACTGGAATATAAACACTCAGAGGCCATCTAAACTACATGTAAGCAAAGGAATCACCTAAAATATAAATTCATATGCATGTTTATAGATAAAATACACATACACACACACAACCCTGCAGAGATGGGATTCTAAATAATCTCAATAAAAAAAGTGACTTACAAAACATATTTATACATACCTTTCGGTCACCTAAACAAAATATCCCATGTTTAATCAATTACATATCAATCATTCCCACAAACAAATCACATTCCAAATGTCTGGTCCTACTCCGTTCTAGTTTTTGCTTCGTCTTGTCCATGTTCTACTTTCTGTTCTCAGCAGTTTCTTTTCAGTCTGTCTTGTGCATTTCCCACATGGACCTTACATTATTCTGGAGAGCTTTTGTTTCTTAGATTCCTTTTCTTCTTTGTTTTTAATAAGAAAATGGTCTAAATGATGCCTTCCTGGCAGGTGCAGGATGACCATGCCTTCTGTCCTCTAGATTTGCTCACAGACATCTTCTGCTGTGCTGCCTTCGGAGAACAACCATCTGTGCCTCCTCCCCACACCATCTTCCACCCCAGAACTTCACTTAGCCTTCACCAGACTCCTACTGCATGTGTTTATGTAACATCAAAACACCTGTTCAGAAATGAAAACTTACTCTTCAGGCTTTCACTTTTGGACAAGAGAAAAAAAATCTGACTAACTTTTCCCTTGAAAATGCCTGCTCTTTCAATCTCCTTTTGTAGCTGCAGGGAATTTTGGGTGTTAATTACAAAGAGCATTTGATTAAAATAAAGAATAAAAATCACTGCAACACCATCATCTTATTTATACCAGGGAGTACAGTTTGAGAGGAAGATACCCTTGAGCAAGATTCAGTAGACTCCAGTATCTGCTTTTATTTGTTTGTTTTGTATATATTTTTTACTGAAGTATAGTCAGTTTACAATGTTGTGTCAATTTCTGGTGTACAGCACAACGCTTCAGTCATACATGAATATACATAAATTCATTTTCATATTTTTCACCATAAGTTACTACAAGATATTGAATACAGTTCCCTATGCTATACAGTATAAGCTTGTGGTTTATCTATTTTATATATATTACTATCTGCAAATACTGAACTCCCAATTTATCCCTTCCCACCCCCTTTCCTCTCTGGTAACTATAAATTTGTTTTC